CCCCCCCTGCTCTTCCCCAACCCCCCCTCCCAGTCAGTGCCTTATAGGGGAGGGGGCTGCAGCGGCCCTCCCCAACCAGGAAAGACCCCCCCACCTAAAATGCACCGAGCCGGCCGGCCCGCAGCCCCCTCCCCAACTCGACTCCTCCCACCACTTCCCTCCTCCCACCCCCCCACGCAGCAAATTCAGCGAAGAGACCCCTCCCCGAATGAAGGGGGGGCAGTCCTTGGAGACAGTCCAGTGGGGTCCCTCTCGCATGGTGCAATTTCCAGACACGGGGTTGGACTAGATGACCTCCAAGGTCCCTTCCAACTTTGTTCACTCGGAAGGACGACCTGGAAGGGAAGGCGCTCGACAAGTTCCTCTCCGAGGGGGACCGCGCGCTGAAGGAACAGGTGAACCTGTGTGGGAAACGCTACCTGGCTTTCAACAACAAGGCCCAGGGGGCGGAGCGAGAGGCGCAGGTGGCCCAGCTGATGGAGATGATTGACGAGCTGGTGAAGAGGAACTGGAGTGCGCCTTGTTACACAGAGGAGATGCTGGCGGCCGACAAGGAGAGCTTCAAGAGCAGACTGGACCTTTCCTGGTTGTGTCCTTTCCTTTAGGGCAGGGCTTTTCAACCTTTTCACAGATTGTACCCCTTTTAGGACAGGACAGTCTTTGACTTGTGGACTTCAACTCCCAGAATTCCTCAGCCGTCATGGCTGCTTGAGGAATTCTGGGAGTTGTAGTCCACAGGTCTTAAAGTTGCTAAGTTTGTAGACTCCCGAAGCTAGCTGGTTGGCCCTTCTTCCTCTCTCCTTTCCGAGCTCTCCTTCCACGGTGTAGTAAGAATGCACCAATCCCTTCCCTGTACCTTTAAAGACACAGGAATCAAGTGCAAAGCAAGAAAGGCTCACAAAATAAAGAAACACATAAACTCTGTTTTTCTTTCTCTTTAAGCTGCCTCAGGGTGTCACGTGTCACAATGTTGCAATCCAAGACTGAAAGGCTCTGGCAATCGCCAATAGTTTTAAATTAAGCCTGTTTACCTTCAAATGAAAACTTTCCAAAAGCCAAAGACAGATTCAAGATAAGGGGGTAAAACTAATTTCATTTCTTGTCACTCCCTTTTCCAGATTTTCCATTAACTGTATTGGTTGGTCAATTGAGTCCTCTGTCTCAGTATTTGATTGTTCCACTTCTTCTGTTGTCTTCTGCATTGTTAGTTCTTTGGTTGTAGTCCAAATTTGGGTTTGTGTATCTAAGCTGGCATCTTGTTCTTTTATGTTGGGCCTTATTTTGTCACAAGCTGAAAGAACGGTTTCGTGTATTGCTTTCAACACGGGCGGGATCTTTTCCTGGTCTTCGTCCACATTCTCTTAATAATGTGTTGAGGACTTTAAAATCAGACATTAAAAATAATTTTATAACTAGCTATGGGACTTCTATTTTGCATGTTTACAGGTAGTGTGTACAGTAGAAATTGTTTGTCAAGTAAGACTTTATAGTCCAAGGTTGCAAATTACATTTGTTTAAAGGGATTCAACCTACGGAAGTCAACAATTTGGACTCATTGCTAGCCTAAAATACAGACTAAAATATTCCAGTAACCAAAGCGCACAAACCGAGCCTCTGAATTACAAAACGCTGCAAAAACTGTCCAAACAAAATCCTTTGGGTAACCCAATCAAGC